GAATCCAAGTAACGATGAAATCGATTTCACTATCAATGAGTCGACAAACCGTTTAACGCATGTTATTAAGGCCCACGCCATACAAACCTATATCTATTATTAATGGCATTTATTACTCGCTTAATATTAGCTTGTTGTATAATAATATTAACCAATAATTATAGGAACCAGAATTTATTTTAAATAAAGTACCATTATTAATTAATGAATAATTGATTAAACTACAGTATAAATATTTATCCATTATGGTTTTAAGTAATAAGAAAATTTGTTGATTATTAAATTGTAATTCTTTTTATTTTGTTATTATAATTATTTTGCTTAGCAAATAATTTCACTAATTATGCTTTTCACTTTTTCACATATGCATTATTCATTTTTTTACATTACACATACTATAAAAGTGGGTCTTAAAATAATGCATGAATTCACATAAAATGTCGATTGAGTTTGTATAGAGCGTTATACGAATATCGCAAACTTGACTACTGGATTATGAACATACCACTTTCCCATAGATCATCGGACCCCGACATTCTTAATTGAACATGCATAACCTATATAATCATGTAGGATTAATTAAATAAGAGTTGGACAGCGAGTGACACCCCATAGTCAGTTCCTAAACATTTAATTCTATTGTAATATTTTGAAAGCTCAATTCTATCGCTAGATTTTTTACCTAACTCTCAGAAACCTTAGAACTTCATTAAATGGACATTTATTATACTTTGTTACAGATTTATTCTTTTAATTATAATAAAAAGTTATTTTCCTAACTTACCTTATATAATACTAGTAATTCACGTAGAGATTAAGATAATATATGCTATTTAAAATAATTTAAACATAGCGTTTTAAAAATAAAAATAACTCGTGTGTTGAATGCATTTCCTTTTAATTAAAATATAATACTAGCATATTAACAATAATAGACAATATTATATAATAAATTTATTTAATAGGGCGTTGGAGTTACATGAACTTGTCGAGCGCCATTCCAGTGGACACGATCAATGTTTTGTATCTAGGTCCGGTATAAGTACTACCCTGGCTAAGGTCGCATTTATCAGCGGCCTTTACCGATACCCGTTCCTCAGCCAGTTCAGCTATGATCCGGAAATATGAGGTGTAGTCCGAGACAAATTTACGAATTACGCCCTCGCTGAATATTTCACTTTGTTGCCTGTGATACTCTTTGAGCACACTAAATTTATGCATGATTATTTTTAAAATAAATCAATTACTCTCAATATATTATAAATCAATATCCGTGTTTCTAGCTATATCTATGTGTGTATGATATACATACCAGTGTATGTGCATGTACTTATAACTTATATATGTGTATATGTATATCTGTCTAATTGTATATGTTCATCTATTATCAATCTCATTTGTTATATTACCATAGAATGGTTGGTAGAGTGGCATTAGTGCCATTTTGAAGTGCTTCATTAATGACACCAAGGGCATTTCTGGCGATAATATTAGGATGGGCACTTCCGAGTTTAGAGTTAAACTCCTTGGCAATTGCCAATCGGTTGGGGTGTATGCACAGCGCGGGCGTCAACTTTGCTATAACGACAGGAGTTGAGATAATCGAGACGGCATACCTGGGGTTAGGTTTCAATTTGGACAGCCAGCTAACAGACACGGCCACGTCCTTGGGCCTATAGGTTTATAATGTAATTCTTAAAATGAGATTCACATTCATAAAACATTTGCGAGGGGTGGGGGTTAAACAAATTTAATTTCATGAATAGTTTTTGAAACAAAAATTCATACTCAAAAGGAATGCACTTTAACATAGTGTGGCATATTAGAGGTGGCAGCACTTTTAAAAATTATAACATTAGTAAGTATTGATACTAATGAAATAATGTTTAAAAGTGATGTCACTGAGAGTATGGGCATCACCTTCCCGCACAATATGACAGAACAATTGACCAAGATGTAAATGACACTCACATTTGCAAGTCAACTATGTTTAGACAAAATTTAGTCATTTCGGAGTCGGTCTCCGGGAGTGTGCGGTTAAAGTCGCCAAAGATTTCATATCTCGAAAGTGCGTTCTCCGCCTCCTCTTCTGAATAGCCGGTGACGCCATCTATGACGGCTAGTTAAGTGAACACGTATTACAATATCATATCAGATACAAATACTTATTACTATTAATACCGAATACAGGGTTCGGAATGAAACGTACGGGATTGAACTGGGCGACCAAGTTATTACCGAATCCGCCCAGTTCCCAAGACCATGCCTCACCTTGATAATATAATGTTCATGAGTGGGACAAATGAATTAACATAATAATTATAAACCGATAAATAATATACTGTAATGTAAATGTAATTTAAAGTGTAAAAACAATTTTTAAGATTACGATAAACAACTTACCCGACACATATACTGTCAAAAGTATAATGCTAAGATAATTCATATTAACACCTTTCACTTTCCCGTAAGAATGGTTTTAATTTTTATATTAAAATTAAGACTAGGTTTTACTTTTTTAAAACTATTAACCACTATTAACTCGGTAACAATATGGGATGTGTATGTTTCAATAGTTGACGTTTTAAATGACGTTGACGTTTCAATAGTTGACGTTAGTATCACCAGTGTGATTATAATTTTATTGACGGCACTGATTAATGATGTTGAACATATTTAAAAAATTGAAATGATCTATAAGTTCATATACTCTATCACTAAGTATCCTTGAACAATTTACTTTCACAACTGAGAATTGAGAATATTATGATCAAAGTTTGAAAATGAATATTTTTAGTTATATAATTTTACAAATACTAAAATCAGAAATTAATTGTTAAGCAAAATAATTATAATAACAGAATAAACAGAATTACAATTTAATAATCAACAAATTTTCTTATTACTTAAAACCATAATGGATAAATATTTATACTGTAGTTTAATCAATTATTCATTAATTAATAATGGTACTTTATTTAAAATAAATTCTGGTTCCTATAATTATTGGTTAATATTATTATACAACAAGCTAATATTAAGCGAGTAATAAATGCCATTAATAATAGATATAGGTTTGTATGGCGTGGGCCTTAATAACATGCGTTAAACGGTTTGTCGACTCATTGATAGTGAAATCGATTTCATCGTTACTTGGATTC